TGGAAAGAGAACGGCAACCAGAAATGGCCTTTAAAAATTACCAGAATTTATTTAAGAGTTGTATAACATGAACAAAGAAGAAACAACTTGGTCTGTTTAAGGCTGGTGGTATACTTTTAACAGAAGTTTACAATTTACTATTGGAAATTGTTGAAGAAAGAGTTTCAAAGAGTCCCCCCCACCCCTTGGGAGTGTGAGAATCATGTAATAGGAGGCCAGTCCCATTCCTGACACTTTCTATTTATAAGATCTTGAAAAAGTCACTTAATGAGTCCATTAAAACAAACAATCATAAATAATAATACCTGCTTATCTCATGGGATTATTATGAGATTTAAATAATGCATTTATTAGTGCTTGGTATACAAGAAAGGGAAGTGTTATAATCATCTGCTGACCTCCTTGATGGGTTTTGTGTAAACAATGAGAGCAATTTCTGGGTTAATAGCTGCAGAGAGCATTGCCAGAGACTGTCAAAAGCAGGCCGAGACCAGTAACAGCTGTAAAATCACACAGGGCATTGTGGTTGGTGATAAGAACAAACTAGGTAATTTAGACTCAAAGTTTAGATTCATTTGCTAGGTCTGTACATTTACATTAATATAATTTACTTTAAAAAATCCAGCACTATTTCTTCCACTTCCAAAAAGTGTTGATCATTCAGGTAAATTCTCTCCACAGCAGTAGAAAGGAAGGAACGGGAACGAGGGACCTATGTGAATTTGACAGACATGAAAAGGAGGTAGGAAAAATGAGCATCAAGGAGGAACTAAAAGTGATGGGATAACATCACTTTTAGAAATTTGATTAGGGAATTCTCATTCATTTAGACTGCAGCCAGCAGGAAGCTGGGGAGAGAGGGAACAGCAATTTCCATCGTGGAGCTCAGCACTATACACGTATTATTTTATTCAATTGTCACAATTCTAGAAGATAGACTTTTATCCTCATTTCTTAGATAAGGACACTGTAAGTAATTTGGCCCAAAGCACACTAGTAGTAAATGGTGGGTGGGTGGTTTTCCAGTCAGTTCTTTCTCTCTTGCTCCCATGCCCAGGCATTTTCTATAATACCATCGACCAAATGTCCACATCTCAAAATGCACTCAGGTGGCTAACCAGGAAGATCACACCTCAATGGCATTTTATCTTCTCAATCTAAATGGTCTCTAACTGGAGAGCATATGTTTATAAAATAGTGTAAATTACTTTGCTGAACATCAAAATATGTTTCTTCCATGAGGACAGACAGGTCATAGTTGTTCCAAGCTGAAAGAAGACTCAGAGATCAGCACAGCTGAGGTTCTCATTGAGGACAGTTAGACACAGAGAAATTAAAGAATTTGTCCAAAGGCACTCTTCCTGTACACTGTGTTACCACTTCAGAAAACATTGCCAACTTTAGGTAAACTGACTTAAGTTGCTAAGTATTGCTTATAAATATTATAAAGCCATTCAGGGATTAATAAGACTACTGTCTAATGCATGATTAACCCTATTAACAACATCTAACTTGTCATTAAATGATAACTGAAATTTCATTCCCAACAGCATACTTTATTAAAAGTCATATTTGCCAGATGGAGCTAGACCACCATTTTGTAATTCCATATTACTACTCAGTTGCTTACTGATAAGTTATATTCTTAACTCTATCACCAAAATTCTTGGAAGTAACCCCACATTATTACCTGCAATCAGTAAAAGGTAGATTGGTCTAGCAACCCTGGCACTTTGGAGTTCCTACCCATGCAGTGAATATGATGTTTTCCTGATATCAGCTCCCTACTCATTTCATCCTCTTTTCACTAGTCCCTAAAGCTAGGCTATTGCTTTGTTTTGATCAACATGGCAAGAAAACATATGCAGTATATTTGTCTTTCCATTCTCTTTCATGACAGGTAACACTTGTATATTTTACTATGATTTTAATAAGAAACATCAGGACAAATAACAGAACCATGCTTCTTCAATACTTATGAGTATGACTTACAGGACTTTAAAGTTCATCTTGGAGTATTTCTTATTGAATTGTAAGGTGAATATAGCCATGTCAGAAAACACTCATTAAGCTGTATACAATATTAAGAAAGTACAGTAAAAAATTGAGACTAGTTAATGATAATGGAGTCAACTATTATTTAAAATGAAATGCAATTTGAATAAACATAGCATTTTGGAGTTAAAATTATTATTTTGGAGCCAGGAATATACCCATCCTCCATCACCACCTCTACTCCATCACCCATAGCAGAGTTGAGCCTCCATTAGAGTCAAAGTCCTGCATGAGATATTTCAAAAAAAAATTATGTTTCAGTTCTCCTCTGTGAGAACTGTGCCTTTAATGAGAAACAGATGTTCAACTTACACACAAACAAAAAATGAAAAAAAAGTAAATAAAGGCAGAGCATCCTCATAACTGACTTCCCATGGAGTTAGACCATTCAAAGTTTCCTAACGATAATAATCACTCAGCCCAAGCCCCCAAATTTACCATCATCTAAATAGAAGGAATCAAACAATGTTAACTGAGTCTGAGAACCTAGTATATTAGCCTATAGCCTAATACAGTGGACACTTGAACAACATGGGGTGTGGGATGCTGACCCTCTCCCACAGCGGAAAATCCATGAATAATTTATGTTGGGTCCTCCTGTTTCATTCCTCCTTATCCGAGATTCCTCTGTATCCATGGTTCCACATCCCGGGATTCAACTAACCTCTTGTAGAACTGATGGTATTTACTCTTGAAAAAAATCTGAATATAAGTGGACTCGCAGAGTTCAAGTCCAAGTCCTTCAAGAGTAACTGTATGTTAGAGGGTCACTTATCAACTCGCTGTTGCTGTCTAAAGCCTGAAGACAGAACTCCCTCACTGGATACTGAGGCTAAGGTTTGAGGGTGGGAGCTGCTCTGGTTCAACAGTTCCTGTACTTCAGTGCTCACCCAGCCACTCACCTGCTGCCTGCTAAACAGGTTACTTTTGATTGTTTTCAAATTTGATCTTAATATTGAGGTTGTTTTTTTTTAAATTGACTAATTTAGTTAATATGATCTTTTCATTGCAATTGTTCTTATAAATATCTAATTAAATATTTTATGCATCATTAAAATTTAAGTGTAAAATAATGAGGTTTTTTTTCCTGAAAACTACCGTGATTTCTGTAAAAGGCAAAATGAAAGCACATTACCCAAACAAAAATGGAACAAAAACTATTTTTGAATTGTGTGTGGGTAAAACATATAAAAGTTGGGGGAGAAACATCACAAAAATCCAGGAAAGTTCTGTATCAAAATGTCAGCCAAAGAATGTACCTCACCATCTGGTTCCACAAGGATTAGGTCACTAACCACTCTAGTCACTGACATTTAACACTCCCTGAAAGGAGTTCAGGGCTAAGACCAGGAATGAAGTACTCTGTGCTCTAGGAAAAAATGGCAGAAGAGGCCTTCAGATAGATAGCTTCAGAAGATTTTATGAGCCCAATTTCTTGCATCTTCCCATATCTAGAAAAGCACTAAAATCATTAACAGAGACATCTGCTCCTCATGATTAGCAGCAACCTTCTGCCAAAGTGTGTACTTGATTGCACGTACACAGTTCACAAAAATCACATACATACTGACCTCCCCCCAGCCTCTTAGGAGCAATTCCTAGGAATTGTGTGAGGGGCTGTCTCCCAGGTTATAGTCCTAGCTAGACCCCAAATCAAACTTAGTTCACAGGTCTTACATTGTGCTTTTTTTCAGTCAATGAAAATTTCTTTCTTTACATGTATCTTTAAATTCTGGCAAGTTTTGTGCTTAAAAGAGTACAAAGATGGATGAATTATAGTATGGGTTAATCAAGAAAGAAAATACAGTTCTTTAAGGAAACTAACCAAAAGATGGCCCTGGCATTACATAAAACAGATTGACAAATGTTTATACACTTACATGTTTTAAACTAAAATGTTTTTGTTATTCCTACTTTCATCAACTTATTTAAATAACCAACCACCTACCTGGGCCACTAGCATCAGGTACTAGGCCTTCTGTTGTATGTAATTATGATGAGTAGCAAAATAATGAAAAGTGCCTGTGCTGAAAACACACTAGAAACCAGTTGAATCAAGATGCCCTCACAGAATGTAATAGGCACAGAGGGTGTTGTGCTTTGCTATGATTATCTTGTCACCTGTAAGCAATCACCATGACTGTGAACAAAATATAATTAAGCCTGAATTGTTAGTTTTCTGTGCACATGGACTGAAGTAGGACAGACAATCATGTCATTTTTATTGGACACCAACCCTGTCCAGCTCACCGTACAATGAGTGGGGTTTAGGCTAGCGGTTCTCAAATTAGAAGGATCAGAATCACCTGAGGGGCTTAATACCCCAGACCTCTCGGCCCCATCACTTGAGTTTCTGGTTCAAGAGGTCTGGGATGAGGGTGCAGGATTGCATTTTGAATGAGTTCCCAAGTGATATTGCTCCTGCTGGTCCAGGAACCACATTTTAGAAACCACTATTTCAGGACGTTAAACAAACAAATGAACAAACAAACTAGTTTTACTGTAGAAAATGTTGCACTCTAAAAAAACTCAGATAGGATGAAATCACATGCAAAAAGCAAGGCATATGCATAATTCAATAGATAAATTAACCAATTGGTTGTCCACCAATCCATCCCAGAGTTCGTTGGAGTCAATGATATAAAGGGTTTTGAAGAAATTAGCCAGAAAATCTTCTCCTTCCCAAGAATAAAGGAGGGTGATTAAGTATGTGTAGGAACAAACAAATACGACTTAACATGTGCTAAGAAATATTTTGAAAGCATACTGATAAAATTATATCTATCTCTTTTCTTAAATTTGACTATGCAATTTAGAGAGAACTGAAAAGATTCCTACTATCTACATTCTCATATTTATATGCCTATCTTTATTTTCACCATACATTTTTCGGCCTGGTGTTTTTTTTTTCTCTTTCTAATGTTTCTTTCTCTCTGTGTTTCTAGGTGTAGTCACAATCACAAATGAGTTTCTTAAAGTCAACATTTCAGTAATGCCTCCAATTGTGTTCATAAACTGATCCTAAAGGTATAATTCTGTTCATTACTTTAATAGATTAAAATCAATTTGGAAAACATTTTTCAAAGAAATTTAAATTGTGGAGAGAAAGGAAAATTAATTCAGAGAAAGACTCTAGGTTATATTTTCTATTCCTCTTTAAAGGACTGATCATAGAAATAACTGCTGGAAAGCCCTGAAGGTGAAGAGGAGTGCTGACTCTGTGTTTAAACAAAAAATAGATTTAATCACATGAACTGTGCTGGAATTATTTTCATTCAACATTTCAAAGATGTGGTAATTTTTTATATCATCTTGCCCGAGTCCTGGTTTTTGTGACAAGTAATCCATCCTGAGTTAACTCCTTAACTGGGGATGGGTAAGTGCTTTCCTTATATCTAAGCTATGCTCTCTGTAAAACAGTACTTTGAGATTGGGACAGTAAGTAATGTGTGTGTGTTTGTATGTGTGTGTGTGTGTGTGTGTGTGTGTGTGTGTGTGTGTGCTTTAAACTATACATTTTCACACTGACTCTATCAGAAAGTGGCATTAAGTCACTGGCGGGGCGGGGGGCATTTTTTAAAAGCTAAATGAGAAACCCAAAAACAATAGGAGGCTAAGTTTTTACAGCATGCACTAAAGAACTATGATTCTAGAATGTAACTATGCCTTACTATATAAGGGTGATACACTTTTTCACAGAACTGTTTATATATGCTCCATGTACAAAATGGGCATATTAAAATTACTTCTGAGTGAATGCAGAGAGTAAAGAGTGATCACAGATTTAGGCTTATAAACAGACACAGGAGAAAACTAAATTTTGATGTTTCCTTTATTAAATACAAAGTAGTATATATTAAAAATCAGTTTTCAATAGAATATTAAGTAAATGCCATGTATTCTGGAATTTAGTGCAGTTGCTTAATGCAATTATGGTATGACATTAAAACCTAATTCATTTTGAATACCATGCTATCCAAAAGAGAAAAATATTACAATGCACACCATTATTCTAAGCATCACACTTGACAAGTGTAATTTTATAGTTCGGTGTTTCCCAGATAAGAAAGAACATATCCATTCCCACCTACCCCAACTCCAAGCACAATATACACTTCAAAGAAGCTATGAGTCTTCATTTCTTCAAGTAGACTTGAGACTTCTTGAGGTTAGGAAATGTTATTTTGTATCCTCATCTTATTCATTGCTCCTAAATATGTATTTATTAAATATTATTAAAGAAGAAAGATTTAAGAAGACTGTTACTTTGTAGCTTTTAGACCTTGGTATGTCTGTGTATTAACCACTTGACTGTTTACAGATAAAAGGACTAGATTTAGGATTTACTCCCTCATTCATAGCCAAGACCAAAATGTAAGGTTAGGAATTTTAGAGGTCTTAAAATAAAGAAAAGATTGTAGGTCATTTAGTTCTGTGAACCTACAGTTTGCTGCTGAATTAGGAAGATTGCAAGAGTTCACCAGGCAAGTCACCTTCAAGCTGTCAATATATGGTCTTTGCCTCTCAAGGGAAACCATGCAGAAACAGACACTTAATTTTTTTTCCCACTGTATCCCTACCTAATTGTTTAGCAGCAAGGATCTCAACAATCTGTACAGCAGATGTGACTACCTCACTTAACACTATCATAGGAAGGAAATAAGGGCAGAAGAGTCATATGCTAATGGTAAAGATGCACAGAGAAACTGCTGCCTGAGCACAGATAACACACCTCTCTCCAGCCATCTGTCCCACCATGTGTGCTGCACATCACAGGAGGATATGAGAGGGGTGGACAGCTGACAAGTTTTTCAGAGTGGCAAAAGAATGGCTTTCAACAGCAGTGTGATACTAGAGGATAAGAGTTTTTATTAATATTGCAAGGAATGTATTATTATTGTTACTTAAAGGACCAAATGTTTTAGCATTGCATATTTTTTAAAAATAAATTAATGTCATGTTATTCCTTTCTCTCACTCACTGCATTCTGATGTTCTTTCTTGAGTGGCGGGGAGAGATGCATAGTTACAGCTGAAATGCAAGAATGGCACACTGTGGTTTCTGGTATATGACACCCACTCTGCATACATAAATGAGACCAAGGTGGAGAGGGGCTGCTGCTGCAGGAAATCACAGACTGGGTTCTGAGCCAGAGGTATGGTGTCTATCCTGCTGGACTACCCTGATACTAGTATTGCCATCAGGTCAGAACTCAGAATAATATTTTAATGTAGTTTATGTGTTGCATTAACTAATCCTTACTCTCAAAGCCTAAATGTTGTGGGATAAGGGAAACTCTGTTCCTGGCATACGTACTAGATGAATAAATCTTTGTTGAATCATTGCAAAAATATAATCATTTCATTGATATAGACAGAGATGTCACAGAGAAGCAGGATCTGGTGGTAGATGAACTAGGCAGTGCTGCCATCAGCCTCAGTGGAGCTGAGATTCCTCTCTGGGGCTGAGTGGGTTGTGTGTAGGTAAGGGCACAACCTACTTCGCTGTGTGCCTCAGTAACCTAGCTGAAGAAGAGGAAGAGGGAGAGGGGAAGGAGGCAGGGGGAAAAGAGGAGAGGACAGAAGGAGAGAAGAAAGAGAAGGAGAAAGAAAAGGAGATGGAGAGGAAAATCTACTTGGAGAAACGGAACATGAACAAATAAAAAGTTTAAAATCATATCTCTGTGTTATATCTGTGCATGTATATATAAAGCTGATGCATGCAATTAGCTTTCCAGAGTTACTGCTTATAAAGGAGAAACCACTATTAATTGTTTAATAAGAAAAACATTCTGAATGGTTGGGGGAAAGGGCCTGTGTCTTAAGAACGAACAATAAACAAAACACAAAAGTGAGGTTGTTGCTTTCCAGTGAGAGAAGAAGTAAAAGATCAGTCAAGAAGGATCACATTTAGAACATATATGTACTGAGTGAGATCAAAAGTTATCCAAACACACAGCTGAGATCAGAGATTCATATTCAGAGTATAGAAAAAAGTACATAATTTCTTTGAGAACAAATTAGTTCTTTAGTTATAAACAATTTAGAAGCAGCCATAAAAATTTTAATCCTGAGGAATATATTCAGGCTTCATGGATGAATGGACCTTTGATAAGCAGCTTCCCAATACTGGATAATAAGACAGAGTCAAACTAGATAAAATGATAGCTCTATGTTTGGAATTTCAAGACAAAAACTTCAAAACTTTTGTCCATTCCAATGTCATCTGAAGATATCACATATTATTTTCCTATTTCAGGGATTTCATTAAACTGTATACTGAAATAACTGTAAACAGAGGAATTTGGGAAGTGGTAAGACATAAGCAATACAACCTCCACAGCGAATTGGCATAGTAGCAAGTATAGTAGATGGCACATACTGCCAGGGAAAAAAAGATGGAGAAGGGATTGTACTTGTTTTAAGGGAGAAAGTCACATTTTCCTCCAGGGTCTATGAAATATATTATCAGTGTTCCTTTACGAGACCCAGAAATGAACCACTGATTCAAGTTGAGAAAGAAATACTCATGTCAACCATCAGTAAGAGAAATACAAAGAAATGTTTCTACCAGTGCACATAATGCTTGTAAAACTATCTAGTTACCTTGTCTCATGCCTGCAAAAAAATCATTCTATTTATTTGAAAAATAGAATTTTTAATTATATTTTTAAAATAGCGGTTAAAATATTTCTCCTCTTGAAGACCATTGTCTTGGCATTAGCCTCTCAATTAAGTATAGTGTTTTCATTTCGTAACTCAATCAGGTCTTTAAATTCTGTTTTTAAGGGGACAAACTTACATCTCACAATTTATAAAGGATTAGAATTCATTATGGGAAAAAATATAGATTTAGCATTTGACAGTAAAGAAAACATACAGAATAAGTGTTTGGAGCATCTATTTCTGTTTTACAGTGATACAAAATATCTGATTAAAACATATGCTCTCAAATAATAAGAGAAACTTAGGTGTATAAAACCTGTCATATGTATTTAAAGCAGATACTAAATGAGTTCAAGATAACTCAAGATGATGTTCTTTCTGTCAGACTTTGTAAGGTTAAATTTTAGAACTGAAATTAAATAATATTAAATTTTTATGATATAAAGCAGTTTTCTCTGAAAACACACACACACATACACACACACACACACACACACACACACACACACACACACACACACACATACATATACCAAAAAAACCTAAGTCAGAAGTATAGCAAAAGGTTCTTAGAAGGCTATCTCAGAAAAGATAAACGTAAAGCTAGTCAATTAAGCCATCAAATTCTAAGTCACAACTAAAGGAGTTAAATTTTTAACCTAGGCCTGGTCAAGTGACTTTCATTATGTAGAAGTCTCTTGATTCTTTCATTTCTCCTTGAAAAAACATTCAAACTGTACAAACCTCCCTGTAAGCATCTTATCTATTAGTTTCAAAAGTTTCAAACACTCATCCAGACTCTACTTTAGAACTGCAGTAAGTTAGATAGGAGTTTTAAAATTGTCTCTAAATGGCTATAATTAAACCCTCACTTAAAGCTTTGCCATCTATACCAAGGGCAAACTCAATGTGATAAGGGATGCATAAGAGTAGAATTATTAAAAAGCAAAAAAAAAAAAAAGAAAGAAAACATGTGACTTGGCATAGATTCCTGTGTAAAGGGTGCAGGTTAGGTACTCCAATATTTCTTCTAAAAAATGTTATATGAAGATCAGAAAGGGTAGGTGAGTGAAAGAAAACTAATTCAACCTTTCTTTATAAAGCTATGTGCAAAAGTGAACTCTTACCCAGGAAGTCTACTAATTGTTAATCTTTTCCTCTTTTAAATACACTGTGAAAACAAATGTACTACTTGAAAATGACCTTAATTCAAATCCAATGTGTACTGATAGGTCAAATTCTCTGTAGCAAATCTAATTAACAAGAATAGGCCACCTACGGGCTTCCCTGGTGGTGCAAGTGGTTGAGAGTCTGCCTGCTGATGCAGAGGACTCGGGTTCGTACCCTGGTCTGGGAAGATCCCACATGTCATGGAGCGGCTAGGCCCGTGAGCCATGGCCACTGAGCCTGCATGTCCGGAGCCTGTGCTTCACAACGAGAGAGGCCACAACAGTGAGAGGCCCGCGTACCACAAAAAAAAAAAAAAAAAGAATAGGCCACCTAGCCTATGGATAAGGAAAACAATCAGATAAGCCCTAGAAATAAAATGGTATTAATGTCAGGAATGGCAGAAATGGTGGCTACTGATGCCATATAGTTGCTAAGTTGAGTGAAAAAAACAATAACAAAAAGAAAAGAGTGTACTCTTTGAGACAAAAAGGGAATTACAAGTTGCTCTTTCTCTAGCTACTAAAAAAAAAATAGAAGTAAGTACATATGTTTGAATGATTTTTATGAACTTACTTGGTCATTTAATAAACTACTTGGACATTTAATAAACTATTTTTTGGAACAAAACTATTTTCAGAGATGAGCTGAACATTTATCAGAAAGTTTCTGTCCAAGAGCGAGGATTTGTGATTTTTCTATCACTAAAAGACCATTTTCAATGATGATCTAAGAATAACAAAATATCTTTAATTTTTTCCTATATGAGGAAAATGTACCTTACCTTTACAAAAGCATAATGTAGTTCACAGTCAATATTATCAGGCATTAATTTCTGCTGATCAACAAGACTGTCAGAACAGAAAGAAAATTACATTCTGAATATTTATCTGATGAGGAAAATGAGATGCAATACACACAAAAAAATGACATGCTTCTATGAGTACTTCACCAAAATGTAAGTAGAAGGATCTTTGGACTCTTAGGTCATTGCCTTTTCCACCACCAGAAAGTTGATTTGAAAATACTGTACCCCATTGCCTTTCTTCTAAGAAAATGTGAGTCCTTGGTGTTCACATTTCATTTGAAATGCTCAGAAATACCATGTCATTTTCAAGGATGGCACACATCAAGATTGGTTCAAGACGGAGGAGTAGAAGGATGTACTCTCACTTCCTCTTGCGAGAACACCAGAATCACAACTAACTGCTGAACAATCATCAACAGGAAGACATTCACCAAAAGATACCCCACATCCAAAGACAAATGAGAAGCCACAATGAGATGGTAAGAGGGGTACAATCACAATAAAATCAAATCCCATAACTGCTGGGTGGGTGACTCACAAACTGGAGAACACTTATACCACAGAAGTCCACCCAATGGAGTGAAGGTTCTGAGCCCCACATCAGGCTTCCAAACCTGGGGTCCAGCAATGGGAGGAGGAATTCCTAGAGAACCAGACTGTGAAGGCTAGCGGGATTTGAGTGCAGGACTTCAACAGGCCTGGAGGAAACAGAGACTCAACTCTCGGAGGGCACACACAAAGTAGTGTGTGTATTGGGACCCAGGGGAAGGAGCAGTGACTCCAGGGGAGACTGAATCAGATCTAACTGCTAGTGTTGGAGGGTCTCCTGCAGAGGCAGGGGGCGGTGCTCTGTCTCATCATGAGGACAAGTACACTGGCAGCAAAACTTCTGGGAAGTATTTCTTGGCATGAGCCCTCCCAGAGTCCAACATTAGGCCCAGAAAAGAGCTCAGATAGGCTCCAGTGTCAGGTCACCTCAGGCCAAACAATCAACAGAGAGGGAACCCAGCCCCACCCATCAGTGGTCAAGCAGATTAAAGTTTTACTGAGCTCTGCCCACCAGAGCAACAGTCAGCTCTAACCACCCCAGTCCCTCCCATCAGAACACTTGCTCAAGCCTCTTAGATAACCTCATCCACCAGAGGGCAGACAGCAGAAGCAAAAAGAACTACAATCCTGCAGCCTGGGGGAAAAAAAAAGTCACATTCACAGAAAGACAGACAAGATGAAAAGGCAGAGGGCTATGTACCAGATGAAGGAACACGATAAAACCCCAGAAAAACAACTAAATGAAGTGGAGATAGGCAACCTTCCAGAAAAACAATTCAGAATAATGATAGTGAAGATGATCCAGGACTTCAGAAAAATAATGGAGGCAAAGATAGAGAAGATGCAAGAAATATTTAACAAAGACCTAGAAGAAATAAAGAACAAACAAACGGAGATAAATATTACAATAACTGAAATGAAAACTACACTAGAAGGAATCAATAGCGGAAT